TTTGTTTGGTAAAAAGTGATCAGTATTTTATCTGCAGCATCCTGAATTACTTTTCTAGTTTTGGCATGAAATTCTCGGTAATGTTTGCTTCTCTGGATGTTAATTTATTGTGGTAATCACTTCTACTCTCTTTTCTGGATTTTTCCCCCTAATAGGATATTACTCAGACCAAGGATGTGAACATGATGGTCACAGGACAGTGGTTTTACAGACCCGAGGAAGCTCAAAGAAGAAATGGTGGAAATTGGCAATCACGAGACACGAGGGAATTGTTCTATAGTTTTCATAGGGACGAAGTTCCTGCAGAGTCAGTCATGCACAAGTGTGTGGTGCACTTCATACCGTTAAACAAGCAGATTCCAGGCCGGAAAGAGCATCCTGGTTTTATTGTTCAAAAGGTATATGACACTGAGCAGATGAAGCTTTTCAAGTTAACAGACAAGGATTATGAAGATACCAAACAGCAGGAAATTGATCTGCTTGTTCATAAGACTATTGCACGAGTTGGGCATCTTCCTGACATTGAAACTGAGGATAATTCTGCAGCTCCTGTTAGTCAGGAAGACCAATTGAAGAGTAAACGACTTTTGAGGAAGAAGAGCATGACGCCTTTGGATGTCACCAGAGAAGATGAAGCACCAACTAGATTTGGTCAATCTAAAGCAGAAACTCCAGGCAGTTGTCCCAATAATGCATCAGAATACTTCATCATCCTTTCAAACTTCAATGTCCTAACTGGTGAAACACAGCGTGACAAATGGCTGGATAAACTGCTGCAGTCAATTCAGTTTTTGTGCAATCCTGTGGATAATGTACAAAATGATGGTAAAGAAAAAGGGGGCTCAGATGTTACTGATCTTACTTGTAATTCCGGTTCTGCAAAGCATGTGAATGAGTCTCCAGACAATGGTGCCAATGTAAGAATTCGCTTTCCAATGATTTTGATGATTGACAGAATTTATGTATAGAATGCTAGTCTCTATTCAGATTTTCCTTGAAATGTGTGTTTTCTTGGACTATTTTCAGGATGATAAGTTTCGATGGCCAGACAGTGCTGTCCCTGCTGTAGTCGCTCTGGAGAAAGCTGCACACGAGACTCTCTCATGTGATTTTCAGAAGTACAATCAGAAGATGAGGCAGTTAACATTCAATCTTAAGGTTAGTACCTTTTTTCTTTTGAGGAGATGGGGGTATGAGTCCGTGAGTTTATTTTTTTTTCCTTCTAATTTTCTATGTGAATATATTTCTACCTTCTAATTGTCCAATTTTCTCGATGTTGTTGTTCTATTTCCAGAACAATTCTTCCTTATCAAAAACATTCCAGAACAGCTCACTCTTAGCACGCCGTCTTTTGAATGGGGAGTTGGATCCCTCACAGATACTGAACATGTCCCCCAATGAGCTAAAGGTATGAGCACAGGGAAAATAATTTACTCAATTTGTCGATTAATTTTTTTGTTTTTCGCTTCATATGCAAATATCCTAAAATGCTAGAAATAATAGTCTGTTTGTGTTTTGTTGATTTCTGGATGGGGTAGGTCTTGCTTTGGTGGTCTTACAGACCGTTCTTGAATCCACCATGTGCAACCTAAATAGGTTTACCACAGTTCATGAAATCTACATATTGTTCAGGTGTGAATAAAGTAAAGCTGATTTGGAAACCAAAATATGATTGAGCATTTTTCACAAATAAACGCACACAATAAAGGAAAATCTGATGTCTCTTGAGACCTTTTGGGAATTAAATATTGGCGTACTCACCCCACAACCCCCACCCACCCCACCNTTGGCAAATACAAGATTGGTTTCTTGAGAAGAATGTCTGCCTTATACGGAGATTATAAGTTATTAATCTTTCTCTGAAAACCTGTAGTTTCTTATTTCTGTGTGGAATCTGAAAATTGTCCCAGCAGATTATGCTTTCCTTTATTTGATGTTGTTCTCCATTTCTATCTCAGGAAGGTCTAACAGCAGAAGAGATAGCAAGCAGGGAGCCCGAAGAGCCGGAGCCCATACAGGTTTATACTATATTATTTTGTTCCTGAAGAAGCTTAGTTGCTATATTAAACAGTCATCTTCCTTTTTCTCTTTGTATGGAGGAAGATGTTTTGAAGTTCAAATTCCAACAGACAAGAAAAACGTTAGGTGATCTTTTCTCATCAGCCTAAGTTTTGGTGGGCAAGGTTAACAAATACCTGTGATGATGGGAGATATCAGATATCTGGTGGAACAGTCGTGGTGCGCTCAAACTTGCCTGGACACCACTTCTATGGCAAATATTTATAGCCTAAGTAGGTGTCTAAATGACTCGACTGTTGGGCTTTAATACTAGATAAGTTTCAACATGAAACTGAGGTCGACTCAATGGAGTAAATGAACTCCGGCTTCATTTTGAGCTCAATATATGCTTATTTGAAAATCTTTAAGAAATTCAATAAAAAAATTCGTGCTTATATACTATTATTACTGCTCGTCTGGTAGATATGATGGTATTCGTGAAGCTACTTTGAAGATTTAGTCTCATGATGAGCATGCACTAAGAATATATTCAGTTGAAATTTTACAAATAGCTTCAGGGAAATAATGTGTTCCGAGGGAGATTTCGGTGAATAAAATCTTCCTTTCTGGAGAGGTCAAAGAACTGCATATGTTGATACAGATGGGGCCAAATTTTCTTGCACCTAGTAGGTGCTCCTTTTGGGTATTGACAATGTTGGTAATTTTTCGGCATTCAAGTCTTTAACCAGGATTTAGTTTAACTAACCATAGCAAACTTTAGTTTAGTATTTTGGTGATGGAGTTGGTCGTTGATTCTGATCACCAGCTACATGTATCCCTTTGAGATAAGACTAAATGTGATCGGAATATTTTTCCCGTATTCAGGGAGGACAGGTTTTTGTTTTCTATAATGAAGTTGAATATATATCTCCACAAGGTAGGGTAAGGCTGCATACACACTATCCTCCCCACTATGTGGGATTATACTGGGTTTGTTGTTGTTTGTTGTTGTTGTTGTTAAGTTGAATATAGCTTCTCAATGTACTGAAAGCCTTTTAATTCAGAAGAATTATCTTTTCATGTTGAGTACCTGGAAAAAGAGTTCTAGAAATTTGGCCATGATTAATTGGCAAAATTGATGTGATCATGTTATAAGACTGGGAAACATTTCATTTCGACATATCTTATTGCTTGTTTCTATTCTTTTTGTGTGACAGATGACTGATGCTTCTTACAGAAAACTTTACAAAGGTTGAGTATGTTGTTTCTCGTCGCTCACTTCTGATTGGTTTGTGGCACAGATGACTGATGCTCGTTGCAAAAGATGCACAGAGAAAAAAGTGCGGCTCATGGAGATTATTCAGGCTGGACATGGAGACCGTTACCAGGTTTGTGCTTGCAGCTTTTTTCTGCTTGAGATAGACTTCTTCGTTGATACATCATGATGTTTCTCTTTGGATATTTCTTGTCCTCTCTTATTATTATTCATTTTCTTTTGGGGGGAAGGGGTGGAGAACTGCTTATTATGTTAGCGATTCCTTGCCGCACCCGAAACTTCAAATAGTTGATTGGATTTTGATTATATGTTGATAGTGGTGGGGAAGATATTTAAATATTATGTTCGATGTTGTGACAGTAAGTGATCTCTTATTGAATTCTTTTCTGTTCTCGGGGTAAAGCTAATTCTCCCATGTCATGATTGCCATTACACTGAGCTATCATGCAAAATGTTGAAGGGAATTACCTTGCATAAGGACCTTTTTTGCCTGTCATGTGTCTTAAATTTTATGTAGTCACTTTGGAGTTTCTTGTATTTAAATAAAAAAAAACAGATTGAATATGGTGTAAGCGCCATTGGGAAACTTTTCTAATAGAATCCTATGTACTTTTTAGCCGTGTTATCTCCGATCTTCCTCGAATATTCTGGTTGCTGCACTGACTGCCTCTTGTTTCTGTGTTATTTATTTTTTGATTATCTCAGCTGGAGTGTATTGCTTGTGGCAATACTTGGTATGCTTCTAGAGACGAAGCTGCTAGCCTAACAATAGACGGGCCAAATTTTACGAAGAGTGTTGGAACAGAACCGTTAGCAACTGCCAAGTTCGAAGACGTGGAGAAGAATTTAACAAGCCCTAGAAGAGCTGATAAAGGAGCTAGTGATATTCTGAAGAAGACAACTGAAGCTTACATGCCAGTTCTTGACAGCCAGAGATCATTTAACAAGTCTAGGACTGAAGATAATACTACCACTAGCAATGCTGACTGACTCTTCTGCTAGTTTTTAGTTCACTTTAGACATAACCATTTCCTGTAAATAGATACAGTACATACATAGTTTTTCAAACAGTTTTTCTAAAGTATATTTACTTGGGGGTAGTAGAAAATTTGGTAGGCTAGACAGAAATTCAATTGTGACAACTTGGTATGGATTGTTCTGTTTCCAAGAACTGTACAATCTGCACACGTGTACTAGGGTAAGGTTGATGTGTGTAATCTTACAGTATAGTTTCAGCTCTTTTCACCTAAAAGTGAGGTGATTTAAGTTTTGAGTGTATTTTCTGTTCACGTGGAGTAACAGTTGCTTTACGTGCCTTACTGACTTGGTTCCATCTTTTGGACATGCATTCATGCAATCTATCAGAACGTGCAATCAAGGAACGTGAAGAAAAATAGACGAATTGAGAAGGAATCTTTATCTATAGACTATAGGTGATGGCAGCTGCGTACTCACCAAAGTTGAAAAATCTGACCTATCCATAAATTTTCTTGACTTGACAAGAAAATTCATGTGATATAGCGTAACATCATCAAATCACTTTATATACTTTTAAAGAGGATCTCATTTTCAAGCTTACATCAATTGACTTATGACGTACTTTCACGTACAAAAATATGGGGTATAACATATAAAATACCTCGTCTTATGCACACGCTCTTTAAAACACTGGTCACACTGCCCGGCCTTAGTACATTTAACATGGTTTGTTTGCAAAAACAACGAATAGAGGCTAGAGGCACTTCTTTCATTAAAATCAAGAATCCAATTGAAATGGGAAAAATACTACAATAGCAAATGTGCTTGAATTAAAGGATACAAACTTCAAACATGAATAGAATTTGGAAACAAGGAGTCAAAACTAAAAACTACAAATTTAAATTAAACAATAACAAATCAGTCTTCAATTTACTTGGACATGGATTGTACTGAGGGAGCTTGATTTATTTGTTGGTTTCCATACTGCTGCTGAGCAAGTATGCCATTCCAACCTGCAGTAAGTTTTACACACACATGTTAAAAAATTGTTTGCTTCTCTTTAAAATGTTACTTGTAATAAGCACATAGGCAAATCTAGGACGCAGAGGCATGTTTATGTGAAGGAGCATGGTGCACGTGAACTCATATTTCTCTTTGTATACTATGTATAATAATGTTATGTTTCTTAAAATCTAGTACTAAAATATACATGTGGGCACCCGAGCTCAAAAAGTCTTATGGTGCAATCATATTAGGTGCACGTAAGTGAAGTTAGGGGTTCAAATCTCATGTTTTTAGGCATGTCTAAGTGTACCCTTTTGTGTTTTAATTAAGTAGTACTTTTTTCTTCTTCTGTTCTATTTAGTTTATTGATTCAAAATCCCTAAATCTAACAATACTAGTTCTCCTTATGTCCTCGCAAAATCTTATATAGTTAAACCAAATATCTATTATAAAACTCATAGCAGTGGATGATGTAGCATATAGTCAACAAGTACAATGATTTCAATATTTTTTATATGGAGTGTAAGTATGTATATTAAAAATCACTAAAATTACAAGAAATTTTTTAATTTTACCTATAATTTCTAAATGATAATGGATTTATGATAAGAACTCAAAGATTGAACCCGTAAAATTTTTGAATTCACCTCTTTGTAATAGTGCACCCATATTTTTGAAAACCTAGATCTGCCTCTGTTAGGACTGGTTATGTGGATTCAAGTGAACCAGTATTTTCAACCTGAATTATGTATACTGAAAAGCATCCAAAATGCATATGCAGAACACATTCATTTTGACTTCACTGACTCGAAACATGACTCTAGTTCCTAGATTGGCCTGTGGCTAAGTAGAACCATAATAGGAAGGATGATTTCATACCTAGAGATGGATCAAGCCCCCTAATCTGAAGCTCTCTGAACTCTTGACAAAGTGAACAACATGGACAAAAAATGTGAGAAACAACATCTGAATAGGGAGCTTCCACCAGATTGTACCTCTGCCTCAGTTTTGTTCTATACTTAGAGCCCAAGACCCATTGAGAACAAACAGCAGGCATCATCAAGAGGTACATGAAAGTCCCCAATGGACACGCTGCAACCACCATCCAAAAATCATAAAGAGTTAAAAACACACTTCTTTTACAAGGCAATTGAAAAGAATTCAAATGGATTTTTAAGAGGATTTAATTACTTGTTTCTCCTGCATCTTGAACTTCAGCTATCTGCCCAAACGTCAAACAAGGTAAAAATGCTGTCGTAGTAGCTGCACACAAACAAGAATTTTAATATCGTTATTAATTCCGCCAGATAAAGAGAGATTCATACTTTTTTCCAGGAAGTTCTACATTCTTTTTTTTTTCTTTAGCCTTCGGACATCCGATACTCATTGGTCCGACTAATCCAGACTAAAAGTCCACTATGGGGTAATTACCGCTCCTTACCAAAGAGGACTTCACTCCTAGGACTCAAATTCGAAACATTTATCATTCAACCACAATCTCTGGCAGTGGAAGATTTACGTGATAGTAGCAGAGGCGGATCCAGGATTTCAAAAGGATGGGTGCACTATTATGAAGAGGTGAATCTAGAATTTATATTTGACGGGTTTAACTATAGTCTCTTACTATGAACCCACTACACATTTAAAATCATAGGTTCAAAATTATATTCTTTTTGAAAGTTTAGTAGTTTTCACTTATATATCTATATTCCTGGCCGAAAATAGGACCGTCTAGAGTGGGATTTGAACCGTCAATTTCACTTGTAGAAGTGCACCAAGTAATTATTGTATCATAGGAGTCTTTGAGCATGGGTGCACGCACATATATTTAAGTAGTTTCGAAGAAATATAATATTATTATACATGATTTAGGGAGAGGAGTATGAGTTCACGTGAAGCCATATGTATTAACCTAAATACGCCCCTGGTGATACACTACTCCATGGTAAGACTTGATTGACACTAAGATAATATACATGGTAAAGGAGAAAAGTGTAAATAATTTACCATTAGTTTGGTCCAAATGACAATCGAATAAGCCAGTGCTCCACGGAGCTCCTGTTAGTGTTGGTGTTGGTGTGTGTACAGCTCCTTGATATTTTGCAGGATACGAGGCACCGGCCTCTGACTGAGGATCTTCAACTTCATTAGACGAATCAATTCTACCCATTGTATCTTAAGCTTTGGAGTCTGAGTAAGAAGAAGAGAAATGAAGTCCTTATATAATTTGAAGGATTTCGTCATATACTTGATAAACAAGAAGAAAACTTGCGTAGACTTTGAACAACTAATCGATTAGACACTTCAAATCCGCTGTAGTCAACGGCACTCACCTTAATTATACTACCATTTGGACTTTTATCTAATCACCGAATTGGAAAAGGATTTCCATTGTATTGATTTCAAATCAAAACTATGCTACTATAAGATTTAAAGCCAAGTTGGCTAAGGTCACATGCAACTAGCCGATTTTTCTGGGCAAGTGCACACTGGAAAGTCGTTGGTATGATTAAGTCAATTGTCTTTGTTTGGCTCATTTTGTAATTTATAGATGGGCAAGAAACTGCTATAATATTCTTTTTTCAACTTCTTTCTAACACTCCTTAGCGTGAATGTGAATAACTTCAATATATCCGTGGTAGTTGAAAGTCCAACAGCATCTAGAGATTGCGGTTAAATGCTAGTTATACAAAAGTCAACTTCTGATAGAGGAGATTATTTTGCAGTTGAGAGGAATGGAAAACAAATGGAATAATATATACTAAGATACTCTTATCACAAAATCATGTTAGCAGCATTATTGTGAAGTCAGCTTATGATCAAGTTGTACTTTTTGTACAATAAGATGTCGATCACTTATCTCAGGGTATAAACCCTTAGAAAATGTGTAATCACAATGACCAATTCAAAACACGCCAATGCAAAATGACATGGATAGGGTGGCATCTTGACTAGCTGGTAGTTTGAGATATTACAGCAGAAAAATAGACTACAAGTGATGGTAGGTTTAAGAAACTTTCACTGCTGAAGCCATCTTCTCCACCAACTGGAGGAAGAAGTTCCTCCAGGAGGTGGTGTGAGGACCTCGAGCATAGTTTCTTTCTCCTTTGGTGTTAATGGGACTCCTCGAACGAGATTCAGAGCCATAATGTGCACGTTAGTCTTCTGCCTGTGCTTCTTGTAAGCCCACATGCCTCCAGCAGCCCCAGCAACTAGTAGCTGCGTCAAAAAAATTTCAAACAACGTCAGCACCTGTCTATTAATATAATTTTTGAAAGAGCAAGGCAGAGGTAGAGAGCAAACTTTAACTGACCGGAGAGAGCCATAAAGCAGCCGTCTGCATATCAAATTTGGGGGCATAAAGTACTGTCTCACCAAAATCATCCTCAAGCTTTCTGTAGATCTCCTTGTCAGACTTCCCATCTCGAATTTCATCCCGAATTAGCTAAAAAGAAGACCCAAGTCAATAACCACGCCCAAAAGTTGGAATAACTTAGGCATGGATACAATGAAAATTCGAAGAACATATATATACTCCTCCATTTTTTCATTTTTTTTAAAATTTTTTGAGAAGTAGAACAAACATACAATTAGCAAAGAGAGTATCTGGATTAGACAAATGAAAAGACCCATAGCCACATGATGCAAAGCAAAGAGGACTTGTGGCATATCTTCTTCTAAAGGAAAAATGCAGTTGTGTGCGCATAGCATTCTGCTGAAGTATGACAATCAAGGTAATTAGTAAGTTGCTCCAGAAGACAGTAGAATTACGATATAACACTCTCAAAGGAGCCAACCTAAGTAAAAAATGAGATATCAACCATCGGTAAACTGTAAACTCTCTAAAGTTTTCCAAGAAATTGGCTTTCTTTCTATCATATTCATAGGAATGGAAACAACAAGTAGCTGAAAATGATGTGATGGAGTTAAGGGATGCGATAGATGGGGAGATACATTTTGTGGTCTTGGATTGGAAGGGCTTGAGCTCTGTTTCTGTTATTTGAATAGTTTTAATATACTTCTTTGTCTGTTACTGGAATCCAACAGCTCTGTTTGATAAAGATCCGAGTCCTACTTACTTTATTGCATTCCATGAGTGGGGAACTTTACAAAAGCCATCTCGTAGCTTCTTCCCCAAGATGGAGTGGAATGCAAAGTGGGACTGGGGAAACCAGGTAATGTTTGGTTCAAAGGCCGCCAAAAGTCCAAAAGAACTACAATTAACAGATTGGGGAGTTGAAGAAGATGGAGAACTTGATGCTGGATCCTTCAATTTGTCGAGTGGTGGTAGTGGTAGTGGTAGTCTAAGTTGCTCCGACATGGCAGTTTAGGTGCCGCACCCGTGTCGACACGACACTAGTATGGGTGTGGGTATGGGATCCGTACCAGATCTGGTCAAACAATTTTGGGTACTTTGGCCACGACGGACAGAAAAATTCGAGACGAGATACAATTTGATTCCCGAAATCAGAACCAAAAATAGGGTATTTTTGAAGAAAATAGCATACCTTATCTATGATCAGTTCTTTACTTATCTGCAACTTGAGAATAAAAAAGAAATTCACACTTTATAAGCTACATGTAAGTATTCCAAAACATTTCTTATAATTTAGAGATATTTTAATTTTTTTGAATTATTTTTAGCCAGATCCCCGCACTCGTATCCGTTTTAGGACCCGTATCCCTGAATCTTAGAATTTACATCTCGAATGATCTGACCTCTAGATCTGCATCCATGTCAGACACATGCACCCGCATCTACAGGTGGTTATGTCTGCGATGTGGGGCGTGGTTCTTCGTTCTAGAGCTCAATATCAGTTTCTACTGACTCATCACCAAAGGAGGGCTTGAAAGCATCCAACTTTTCTTTCGATCGCTCTCCTGGGAATCTTAGTAAGAAAGTGAACCTTGCTCTAGAAATCTCCCCCCGTGTCCGAGCAACTGGTACAGGTGGTTATGTCTCTGATGTGGGGCGTGGTTCTTCGTTCTAGAGCTCAATATCAACTTTTACTGACTCTTCACCAAAGGAGGGCTTCAAAGCATCCAACTTTTCTTTCGATGGGTCTCATGAAGATCTTAGTAAGAAAGTGAAATACAATTAAACAGATTGGGGAGTTGAAGAAAATGGAGAACTTGATGCTGGATCCTTCAATTTGTCGAGTGGTGGTAGTGGTAGTGGTAGTGGTAGTCTAAGTTGCTCCGACATGGCAGTTTAGGTGCTGCACCCGTGTCGACACGACACTAGTATGGGTATAGGTATGGGATCCGTACCAAATCTGGTCAAACAATTTTGGGTACTTTGGCCACGACGGACAGAAAAATTCGAGACGAGATACAATTTGATTCCCGAAATCAGAACCAAAAATATGATATTTTTGAAGAAAATAGCATACCTTATCTAAGATCAGTTCTTTACTTATCTGCAACTTGAGAATAAAAAAGAAATTCTCACTTTATAAGCTACATGTAAGTATTCCAAAATATTTCTCATAATTTAGAGATATTTTAATTTTTTTGAATTATTTTTAGCCGGATCCCCGCACCCGTATCCGTTCTAGGACCCGTATCCCTGAATCTTAGAATTTACATCTCGAATGATCTGACCTCTAGATCCGCATCTGTGTCAGACACATGCACCCGCATCTACAGGTGGTTATGTCTGCGATGTGGGGCGTGGTTCTTCGTTCTAGAGCTCAATATCAGTTTCTACTGACTCATCACCAAAGGAGGGCTTGAAAGCATCCAACTTTTCTTTCGATCGCTCTCCTGGGAATCTTAGTAAGAAAGTAAAACCTTGCTCTAGAAATCTACCCCCCTCCCCCCGTGTTCGAGCAACTTAGGTAGTAGTGGTATAGGTGGTTATGTCTCTGATGTGGGGCGTGGTTCTTCGTTCTAGAGCTCAATATCAGCTTCTACTGACTCTTCACCAAAGGAGGGCTTCAAAGCATCCAACTTTTCTTTCGATGGCTCTCATGAGGATCTTTGTAAGAAAGTGAAACCTCCCCCCTCCCCCGAGCAACTTAGGTGGTAGTGGTACAGGTGGTTATGTCTCTGATGTGGGGCGTGGTTCTTCGTTCTACAGCTCACTATTAGCTTCTATTGACTCTTCACCAAAGGAAGGCTTGAAAGCATCCAACTTTTCTTTCGATGGCTCTCCTGAGGATCTTAGTAAGAAAGTGAAACCTTGCTCTAGAAATTCCCTCCTCCCGTGTCCGAGAAACTTAAGTGGTAGTGGTACAGGTGGTTATGTCTCTAATGTGGGGCGCGGTTCTACGTTCTAGAGCTCAATATCAGCTTCTACTGACCTCTTCACCAAAGGAGGGCTTGAAAGCATCCAACTTTTCTTTCGATGGCTCTCCTGAGGATCTTAGTAAGAAAGTGAAACCTTGCTCTAGAAATTCCCTCCCCCCCGTGTCCGAGAAACTTAAGTGGTAGTGGTACAGGTGGTTATGTCTCTAATGTGGGGCGCGGTTCTTCGTTCTAGAGCTCAATATCAGCTTCTACTGACCTCTTCACCAAAGGAGGGCTTGAAAGCATCCANGCTCTGTTGAACCACTTATAGGTCTGAAACTTGGTTGAGACCATCGGTGGTGCTAAGATTTCATCCTTCGCCGAGAAACCCGTATCATCTGCTGCAGCAGCAAAGAAAACAAAATCATCTACTCAGAATGCACCAACTCCTCGCTGTCAGGTTGAAGGCTGCAGCCTTGATCTTTCATCAGCTAAAGAATATTATCGGAAGCATAGAGTTTGTGACAGTCATTCCAAATGCCCAAAGGTCACTATAGCAGGTGTAGCACGCCATTTTTGTCAACAATGTAGCAGGTTCCATAGCTTGTCTGAATTTGATGAAAAGAAGAGAAGCTGTCGCAGGAGGCTCTCTGATCACAATGCACGGCGCCGCAAACCACAGCAGGAAATCATCCAGCTGAACTCGGCAAGGCTTTCTTCATTGTTTTATGATAGCAGGAAACCTATGAATCTTGTGCTCAACAGACCCAACTGGTTCACTCTAGAGCTGCTGCAAATTCTACCAGGGAAAGCACTGAAGAAACTAATTTCAGTATAACAAGAGGGTCTACTCCAAAGCCTGAAAGAGCTGGCAGTACAAATGGGCAGTCATTACTGTCGGGGATCCAGTTTTCCTTGGCCGTGGGTGCACACAGTAATGTATCTAGCTGCTTGCTCTTGCCCTCCAAGGGCCACATAGACGAGGTTTTCAATCGAGATGCCAAGGAATCCATGTTCAATATGAGTACAGGACCGGAATTTCCTCATGGGGTTCATCCGAGCCTGAGACTGTTTCACTGAACCACCCAACACATGTAAATCAGAGCAGCATGCCTGAGCAGATGATGCAGGCAATCCCACAAGGTGTGCCACTTATGTCCTGTGAATACTGGCAGAGAGGACAACCTTCATCCGATCCTCGTGACCATACATTGGCTGCTAATAGTCATGCAAGTGGTATCTTTCAGGGAATCGAGCTGTTCAAACCTCCATTTGACACTGACTTTTATCTCCGTTAGTTTACAGATATGTATAGTGTAGTCTTGTCCCACATTGGAAGATGAGAATCTGAGCAGTTTTCTATTTTCAGACCTTCCACGCTGAAATTCAAAATCAATTTGGGGTTTCTATTCGCACATTTCATAGTNCTCCAGCTCCTCCACATAATCCAGTTCAGCCTTCTGCAACTCCACCACTCTTGGCTTATCATCGTTGTCCACATCCAGCATCAGGCCCAGGCGATTCACGCCCCGCATCAGATTCTGCACCTATTGCGGACTTGTCTCCTCTTAGTCAACCAATTGCACTCCGCAAAGGTGTACGATCTACACTTAATCCTAATCCCCACTATGTTGGTTTAAGTTATCATCGCCTGTCGTCACCACATTATGCTTTTATATCTTCTTTGTCCACTGTTTCTATCCCTAAGTCTACAGGTGAGGCACTATCTCATCCAGGATGGCGACATGCTATGATTGACGAGATATCTGCTTTACATGCGAGTGACACTTGGGAGCTTGTTCCTCTTCCTGCAGGTAAGTCTACTATTGGTTGTCATTGGGTTTATGCAGTCAAAGTCAGCCCGGATGGCCAGGTTGATCGGCTTAAGGCTCGTCTTGTTGCAAAAGGATATACTCAGATTTTTGGGCTTGATTATAGTGATACTTTCTCTCCCGTGGCTAAAGTAGCATCTGTTCGTCTTTTTTTGTCCACGGCTGATGTACGTTATTGGCCTCTTTATCAGTTAGACATTAAGAATGCTTTTCTCCATGGTGATCTTGAGGAAGAAGTTTATATGGAACAACCATCTGGTTTTGTTGCTCAGGGGGAGTTTAATGGTTGTGTTTGCAGATTGCGCAAGTCATTATGTGGTTTGAAACAGTCCCCTCGAGCTTGGTTTGGTAAGTTCAGCACAATTATTCAGGAGTTCGGCATGACTCGTAGTGAGGCTGATCACTCTGTGTTTTATCGGCATTTTGCTCCTAATCTGTGTATTTATCTAGTGATTTATATTGATGATATTGTTATTACTGGCAATGATCAGGATGGTATTACTAATCTGAAGCAACATCTCTTTCAACACTTCCAGACTGAGGATCTGAGCAAAAACCATCTCTTTCAACCTTCCAGACTCAGTCTAGCTCAGGTATTGTTATTTCACAACGGAAGTATGCCTTAGACATTCTTGAGGAAACTGGAATGATGGGTTGCAGATCTATTGACTCTCCTATGGATCCGAATACTAAGCTTCTGCCTGGACAGGGAGAGCCTCTTAGAGACCCTACGAGATATAGGAGGTTGGTTGGCAAATTGAATTACCTCACAATGACTAGACCTGACATTTCTTTTCCGGTGAGTGTTGTAAGTCACTTTATGGATTCTCCCTTTGATAGTCACTGGGATGCAGTTGTTCGCATTCTTCGGTATATAAAGTCAGCTCCAGGCAAAGGATTACTATTCGAGGATCGAGGTCACAAGTAGATTGTTGGGTACACAGATGCTAATTGGGCAAGATCACCTTTTGATAGAGGTTCTACTTCTGGATATTGTGTTCTAGTAGGAGGTAACTTGGTCTCGTGGAAGAGCAAGAAACAGAATGTAGTTGCTCAATTTAGTGCCGAAGCCGAATATCGGGCCATGGCAATGGCGACATGTGAGTTAGTTTGGGTCAAGCAGTTGCTCAAGGAGTTAAAGTTCGGAGAAATCAGTAAGATGGAACTAGTGTGTGATAACCAAGCTGCTCTTCATATTGCGTCAAATCTGGTGTTCCATAAGAGGACTAAATACATTGAGATCGACTGTCACTTTGTCAGAGAAAAAAATACTTTCAGGAGATATTGTTACAAAGTTTGTAAAGTCGAATGATCAACTAGCAGATATTTTCACTAAGTCTCTTACTGGTTCTCGCATTAGCTACATGTGTAACAAGTTCGGTACATATGATGTGTATGCACCGGCTTGAGGGGGAGTGTTAGTTTACAGATATGTATAGTGTAGTCTTGTCCCACATTGGAAGAGGAGTAATATCTCCTTGTAGTGTATAGCTATAAATAGGGACCTCTTGTATTGTATTTATCATCCAATATCAATAACATATTTTCTCCCGTGCTTTCTCACAATCTCAATGCATTGAACTGAAGCCAACATCTGATGTCTTTAGTGGATTTTCAGGACTTTGGCCAGCTCCCCTTTTCGCTTTTTGACACGTTAAACTTGGATCAAGCAGGAGGTTTATTAGTAGGCTATTTCAAGCAGTTTGTTTGCCATCTTAAATTAGTACTGGTATATAATATATAGGTTGGGCTTTTAAACTCCAACAAAGTCTTAAATTCTGTATTATGCAGTAAATTTTGTTTGCTTAATTTAGGCAGTGACAAGGGTTCTTAAGAATTGTAGTTCCTTTATTCTGCACAGGCCCCGACTTCTGACTGAAAAAAGAAAAAGAAAAAAAAAGGATATCAACCATCAAACTCAGGAAGTCATGGTTTTTGCTCCGGGATTAACTCATTCTCCTTCAAAAACTAGTCCCACAAAACAAAAAAGACTACCCTACCATGCAGAAACCGTTTTCTGTGTTTGGCTCCCTGCTATCCCCCTCTCGTCGAAGAGATGATAAATGCATATTTAGCATAATACAAACGAAATAGTTACTTGACAATCCAGAATAGAGCTTTTTTCTTTAAAAAACGAAGGGCATCCAGAATATAGCAAATTCAATCGGTTCAAGAAGCCAGACCCATAGAGGAGGTCAATTACGATATAGACCAACTGAAAGAGTCAGTTTACTCATTAAGAGAGAATAGGGAAAGAACTAGCTGAAGGGGGGAAATTAAATGTCAGTAATATGGGAAACCTATTATTGTCTTAAATGTAAAACGAAGAACTCGACACCTTCAAAAGGGTAATACCATACACAGCTTCTTTGTTTAACTCAGCCGTATTTAAGTTTGCATAGCTGCGTGAACTTGAATGCTATTGCAGGTACATGCTAAGAAATGATTAAAAGTGCTGTATTTGATAGAGAATTAGGGATTCCTATCATAATGCATGCCTATTTAACTTGGTTGGGGGGGGGGGGGGGGTTC